GGGGGAGGAGTGGAGGGGGAAGGATGGAAAAACCTGTGTATGTGACAAAGACATTCCGACCACTGCAAACAGTCAAAAGAATACTGGGGTAGGGTGGTTATTGTTCCAGAAACAGTTATTTGTTAGGAATATGTTGTCTCTGATTTTAAATAAAAATAAAAAGAGTAAGAAAAGACACAGCCTGTACATGGCAGTACAGGAAAGAGGACAGAAATAAAGACAACTCTCAAGCCTAAGTATTTTAAACACAAATGAGACCAAAAGCTTTTGATTGGGAAGCATAAAATAACAATGGATGAAAGGGAAAAGATAGGATTTTCTATGAAGCAGCAACACCACTGCTGCTATGACCCCCTACTATACATACAAAATACAGGAAAAGAAAGTCTTTATCTCTCTAAAGCTGTGACCATGGCAACCAAGTCTCAGGAACAGACAAGAGTGGAGTATTTCACTCTCCTGGGCAGCTTTGGACCACCAGAAGTGACTGGCTAGAGACTGTTACAACATCTTATTCTTCTTCTGGACCAAGTACTACAAATCGTGTCTCTTGGTGTTAGCACTGTCCACAGAGTTCTCCAGGTTCTGCTCTTACTGAATGATGTATTTTTACTGGGGAGGTCACGCATATTATCCTGCCTCAAGACGGGGTATTCACTGACATCACATGACCTGTCATATCACCAGGCTCCAGTGCTTTCTGTTTGCTGTCACAACTAAAGTATCGAAAATCCTCAATATTGCAGTGCTACTGTGACCTAGTAACTCAGCTGAATCTTACAGCATAACAGTGATCTGTGAATGAAAAACGGTTTCAGAATTGATTTTATTTAAAAAGAGCACATGGTCAAGAACAAATCCTTTTCTTTACTAGTGGCCAAAACAAAACACTCACCTTTCAGAACAAGTATCATCTGTAATATTAGCCGTTTCATTTTCTGTCAAGATCTTCCTTTCCATAAATACCTATTTCATCTGAAACAAAACTCCCACCCATTTTCTTCTATGCTGGTAGAGTCAGGCTAACAGAAATTTTCTGTTCTTCACTAGAAGATGCTTGAATTTTACAAGTCTACCATCCTGCTCCAAGACAGTGGTCAAGCAGTTTCCTTGAAAAATTTCTCCTATATGCTAGTGCTACCACTCTAATATCAAATGGCCCAAAACAGATGGAACAAACATTGTGTTAAGTAAGCATATATATTTCCAACCAATATCCAGACAAAAGTAAGTGCAGTCTAACAAATAGAAATGGGATAGATTAAACAAAGCCCAGCCTATTAACATCTAATAATCTTTAAAAAGACATTTTACATACAGGAATAGATTAACAACGGAGATGCCCTGTGACTACAGCACTGTATACAGGAGCACGTAGAGTGTCTCAGCAGACACTCCATAATGATTTTTGCATTTGGAAGATTTCTTTCATGTAGTCCAACTGCTGTACATTACTGACATTCTTTAGAATACACATTTTCAGAATAGCATTAGCAAATTATTGTCAGAATATCCTTCAGCTAAAGAAAGCAATGAAGAACAATACAAAGAAAAATACTGGAATATCATATATAATGCAGTTTACATATGTA